TTTTCTTGGTAAAGTTTGGTAACTGTTAACTAGCCTTACCTCTTCCCCCAAATAACTGAAAGCAATTTGAATCAAGTAGTGATGATATATACAATTATATCACTTCCCCCATGAACGATTAAAATTAGAAATAGCCCTCAAAATTTTCCCTAAGAGAGAAATTGTCAAGGAATATTCTAACAATAGAGCAACGCCTAATTAGTACAACAACTTTTCTCTTTGTTTTAAAAGTAAAACAGGGACTCCCAGTTTTGTCCAGTTCCTTCAGGGATTTAAGCACAAAAGGAAAAACCAAGCATTATGGATGATTTCAGAATGTGGGTATTTTTCAGTAAGTTAGCTAAAAATAATAAATTGTTTGGATGGAATGTAACAGTTATTTTAGACAGAATAGCCTTTTCATTGTCTCCTGAAGAGGTTTATAAAATAAAAAGCTAGAATCATAGTCCAATGGCTCTCAGTTTTATTAAGTAAGCAAATTTTTATATATAAAGTATAACATCTTTCAAATATATTAAATAAGCATGCAAACCTGTTACAAAGAACACTGGGGAAAAAGGAGCAGATAATAGCCTATGTTTTGTTTTGGAGTCCTCTCAATTCTTCTAATACAGTTACAAGCTTTAAATGCCACAAACCATAATCATAGATACTATATAGTGATTCTTCAAAGGCTAACCAGCAACTAAGGTGAGAATAACTTAAGTGACAGTTCGATCACATTTTTGCAGTTTAAATATTATGGGAGATATTCTTACAGTTAATAGGGCTCTGTCCCACACACTGTGGGTGTATAGGAGGAATATTACAGCTGAACACTTACCCTGATAGTAATAACAGTAGCTCTAATGGCTGGAATAATGTCAGTAATATAGTACTAATGCTTTAGGTAACCTTCTGGTAGGTCAAAATAAGATAGTATTTCGACTCTGTGGCAAAAAAAAATCTCACTGAAATAATACATGCCCTTTGCTTTTACACTGGATTTTTTAAATATGAGACTGTAATAAAATATGAACATTGAGATTTTCCTATTTGGAATGGCTTATATACCACGGGCATCTCTGCATGCCACCAGCCAGGTATTTCTTTAATTGAATTATTGGACAGATTCTGTAAGTATTCTAAACTTCTTTAAGTTTATCATTCAGAATGTAAAAATGCAGTTTGAGGCAGTCAATAATATTATGCATATGAACCCAACTAGATACACTTTATTTCGACCTTTTTTTTTGTAATGAGGGTTCTTGTGTTTGTTCTAAGCAACTGCAGGCACACTTTCAGACCTTTTTTTTTGTAATGAAGGTTCTTGTGTTCTAAGCAACTGCAGGCACACTTTCTAATTTTAAGAGTTTAAAATATTTTTACAAAGAGCTAAACTGACATCCATGCTAATGAAGATAATAATGAATGAATTACATGCAGCACCAATTAGAGCATTGCACATTTACTACAGTGATTTACAAACACCAAATACTGGTTTAACATCCATTTTCACTCATTTTGTCATTGAGACTTACATTATATTTGGGTCAACCAAAAAAACCCAAAGGGATTTATAAAATTTTTACAACAATTAAACAGTAAAGTTTAAATCTGCAAATGAATAAAGCAAACTACTGTAGCTCAATTAAGACAACAACAGGACATACAGTAGTCAAAAAATCTATATATATACAATTGAATATATTACTAACATGTAATACTTTAAAAAAAACATTAAATAACTTAGGCTGACATTCCAGAAAGCATTTGATTTTGAATCATAACTAATAAATCTAAGGTCAAGAACTTTTAAGTGATAAAGTATGTGAAAGTAATACAGCTAAAATAAAAGAACAGGAAATTGGAACTCCCAGAAAAAGCTCTGGCCCCACTAGAGCCTACTGCTTAGGTCCTATTGGTTGCTGTAGGCCAGAATTTCACATCCTCACTTCCTTTTTTTTTTTTCCTTTTTTTTTAATATTTATAGATTTTATTAAAATATAGCTTCTAGAACTATTCTCTTACAGTTTTAAAAACATATTTAAATATGCTCTCAAAAAGAGCATTTTATAGAGCGACTTATATTTACAATATAGACAGTATAATCACGTGTTTCTGAAGATCAGCTCTTCTTTGTAAGAAGAAATCTAAGCTTTTGTGCTAAATATTAATGACTGTGACAGTGTTTCGAATTGACTTGTACACATACCTTAAAACAGATGTGAATGGCTGGATTACCACTGAACTGACTAATCAGGAGAGACTACATCACAGCTAAGTGTCATTACGTTGAAGAACTGGATAAGCACACACTTTGCAAACTCGTTCCAGAAGGCCACACTGCCCATTCTGTAATTCCATGGAGAACAGCTGCTCATAGCTTTTTAGAAAAAGACAAATTTGCCTACAAAGTGTCTTAGATAAATGATGTGCTGGATTTGTATTGATACATTCCCATCCTTTAAAAAAGCCTTGTTCTCTCAGCAAGACAGAAGTTAGTGAAATGACTAAACGAGTCTTACAAAAATGAGTATCTCCACCCAATATTTCATACAACAATTTCCACTCAGGCTTACAAATTAGAGTGCATCAAAAACACCCACCAAACTCATCTTAAAATAGCTCATCTTTATACTTGGAGAAAAAGGGAACAAACATTTTTCTACATAGAAATATTTAATTCCATGCAAGATGGAAAGTGTGAGTGCACAATAAACTTCATTTTAAACCTAAATAATTTATAAATTAATCCATTAAGACTAAGGCAGAGTCTACAGCCGTTATATATTAAACACATGCAGATGAGTTGTTAACACCAACATTTTTACATAAAGTTCTAGTGCAAGAATGTATCTGCTTAATAAATAGACTAAAAAATAACTTTATGCAATGTTTTGAGGTGTACACATGGTATCTGTGCATGTTATAAACTGTTTTTGAAAAGTTCTTGTTTGTCTATAAACTATAAGTGCCCATTTTAAATAAAAAGACCATAATTACCCATGGGCTACTTTTCTGTGACACATGGTGTCACGAACATTTTGGTGAAAATGTAACACTGAAGTTAATCTAGCGATGCTTTTTTACAGTTTTTATACAATCGAGAAAAAGAGATACAATTTGTATCAACAAACAAAAGGTCATTTCTGGTTATTTGAGGCATTGCTCTCAGCTGCTTATACCATGCAAGAGAAGAGAAAAGGATAAAACTAGTTGGAAATTAAAATTATGAAATGCTGATTAATAAGAAATGTTTTGAAAGCTGACCAAGTTTTAAATCTGTTTTATGAAATTAGTGTCAGAAGATTTATTTTTATCATTAACAGGTCAACTATTTTAAAAGCTTAGTTTTTTAATAGCAAGTGTGAAGACAGAATCAACTATAAACTAACTCAATTCAAATACGTAATGACATGGTCATTATGTAATATAAGAACTTGGAGAGGTTCCTGCACCAATACTAGAATATTTATCATATGTGAAATGATTTGGCTATCAAACACCTGTACACTAACTATAGGTGCACTTGCAATTGCTTTTATTATCTGACATGAACACATTTTTGCACATGATAAATAGTCCACGAAGTATTTTGAATCAATCCATTATTAAAAAAATCACAAATGGAAGAAGTGATGTAATTTTGTTTCTCAGACAAACATAAACAGGAAGCAGCATGCAAGCCATTATCAAAACACCAGAAACAACCCTGACTGCAGCCTCACGTTCCGTGTGTTTCACAGTAAGAAACATTTAGGCAGTGTCACACCTTCTCATGAAGAAACAAAAGGCCATAAACCAGGCCTTCTCAACTTTCATGAAAAAAACTACAGTAGAAGTCAACAAGTCCTAGCTCGAGACATATCGAGTTAGTAATGGTTTAAAATGTTGAAATATACAGCGGATTCAAAAAAGGGCGTTCAGTCAGTGCAGCTTAAAAAAAACAATAAACGTCTCTTTTGGAGACATTTAGCTACAAAGGTTCCCACCCTGAGCAAGATAACCAGTTGCACAAACAATGCCACACACAAATTTCTTCTCCCCTGTTGAAACAAGGGCTCTAAAAGCTTTCATGAGGCAAATGCACACCTTTGCGTGGATCTCGAGAGCACAAACCAGGAGAGCTTTGCCACAAGCTCAAACTGTAGCATCTCTTTTCAAGAAAGCAGTTCCCTCAAATCTCAAGTTGATCTGTAAATCAATCTTTACTGTCAGTTTCACAGAAATACCATCCCTGTTCCCAGAAGGGCTGCAGTTACTGCTGAATATCCATGTTACCATCCGTTTCCCTCTCCTTGAGGCAGAGTAATCCAATTTACAAGAACACTTTTTAACCTGTAGCATTTCTATTCATCCAGAATGGTAGTTGTTTACAGTACAGATGACAGCCAAATCTGAAGAGAGACGCCACAGTTAAATTCCTTTTAGTTTACTGAATGGAGCTCATTTTTCTGCCTACCTTAATATTTTGGTCCTGATTTGATAACAAATTTGGCTTCTGCTATATTGAGCCAAAGTATTGGACATCCTAATAGATACTCAAACTTCCGGTGAACAGTTCTAAAATTTAGGAAATTCCAACAATACTGACATCTAAAAGCTGAAAAAAAAAGAATAAAATACTTTTATTTTTACAAATTGGATATTTTTGTTTTTGCCAAGTTTGTTTTTTTTTTTCTTAAATAGCTGACAGGCCAAAAGGCACTGCCAAGTAACAAAGCTGAAATCCTAAAGGTGATCTGGGAGTGCATAGAGAATACGTTGAAAGGCCAATTAGGTATTTATAATCATATGGAAAGTATACACTAGTACATGCAATATAATTGGTAACATAATTTTGTATTAACAGCTTTGAGACACTGAATGTGACGTTCTAGTTCTTAATGATATATCCATGCAGCAAGGTATGCTTTTCCTGTAAAATACTATTAAAAACCCCTATATTTAAAATCTTAAAATTTACAATGCAATCAGCTCTTATACAGTCCCTAGGTGCATATATTTTTTGATTGCTACTGTGTACAGAATTTTATACAAGAATATTAAAAATATTTACAATAGACTTGTCCACTTCCATCATGTAAGTTTTCCCCCAGCTCCTGTCTTCTGTTTAGTTTCATCAATCTAAAAGAGGCTGTAATGATTTAACGCCCTGTTCTTAATTTGGCAACAATCATAGCTGCCAGTTGTTGTGCATCTGTCATGTGGGGATTCTTTTCCATCACAGAAAGGACAATGCTTGGAGGGAAAATATTGCAGAGGTTTTTGTATGTTTGATACTGATGTTCTGGGATAATATGTGGCTCCCGTGGCTCACCACATACCCCAATCCAAGGACTCCGCCAGAGTTGCTCCATCTTCTCAGGCATGCTTCTCACCATTACAGGCTCATAACACGGCTGCATGAGGTTGTTACTTAATGGATAAGAATGATAAGCATAAGAGTCTGATGCACACGGTAATGGATCCCAACTAGCATGCTGTTCTCGACAGAGAGGTGGTCTTCTCTGCCTTGTAGGGTTACTTTCATAAAGCCTTGAGTCAGAAATACTGTCCATTCTTGTCATGACCAAGGCACGGCTTGGTTGTGCAGTTGGATGAATATTTTGAGGCACAGGGTAGTCTCCTGGACAACTGGACCGTGCTCCAACAACTGGATGCTGGGCATGTAGGCCTAAGTGGGAAACTGACTGCTTGCGGAGGGATTGCTTAGGTTCTTCAGGTCCGTAACTCTGAACTCTGTTTAAGGCTTCATGGTAACCATGGGAAAAAGGCTGAAGACGATTTTGTGATGAAAGTCTGTGGATCTTCACATTTTCTTCTGGACTGGCATCTGCTACACCCAGATACAAGTCATTGTAAGAGGAATAAGAATCATTACTTGTATGGCTTAAGCGATTTTCAGGACAGGGGCTTGAGTTTCTAGAATACATCCCCTGGTCTGTATCAGCCCCATAAAAATCTGTGTTACGCATACTACTTATGCTCAAGTTGGAAAAATCACTGAGTAAGGAATAATAGCCATGGTCCCCTAATGATTCGTATTTGGGATACTGGTCAGTATAGTTAATTGAGGCACCATGGCTATTGGTGACTAGTATAGGAGGATATTGCACACTGGACATGTGTTCCAGTGAGGATTTCTGATGTGTGAACTGTGAGGAACCTGGCACTGGGCTGCTTGCAGAACGAGTATTTAATGCACCAGCTGCATGGCTTTTTGGTGGAGGGAGTGTTGGTACACTTAATGCAGAAACCAGAGATGGGACAGAGCTGGCCTCCGACTTCCGTGCTACTGATAACTTTTCCTCAGGTTCCACAGCTACCGATCTAATGCTTGGATCTGACTGACGTTTTGGGGTAACGCGTTTCACTTCAGAATTGATCTCTCCTTTGGAGCTGGATGGCCCTGTGCCACATTTGGCCAAGGCTCCCTCACTCATAGTTTTCACAGCAGATAATTTGGCACTTATTCGAAGCTCATCCGCTACTGACCTTTGAGGCTGGTTTGCCCGTTCTGGGTGGTAATATTTACATTTGTGCCCATAGGTGCACTTTTTACCTGTAAGAAAAGTGTCTTCAGGTTAAATAAATCAAAATCAAGTCAACATCGCTAGTTGAGATGTTTGTATCTTTCACTGTTTCTCAACAGTAATGTTTGCATACTGACACTGGAAGGAGAAATTACTCATACATGAAATCACTTACTGCTACCTACATTTATGTATGTCACTGCAACAAGGGTGATATACACCATTTTTTCCCCCTTCATGTTCATGAATTAGAGTACAAACAGCATACTTAATGCTCTATAAAACCAAACAGCTTCAACAGAAGTTGCGTAGTTATGAATCTTCTCCTTGAATACAAGTCAGAAGGAAAAGGCACAAAACTCTGATATCCACAAGGCATTTGCTAATATTTTGAAATATTTGGTTATCTTCAATTTTGTTACTTTGCTTTTATTAATACAGCCATACTACATATAAAAAAATGATATACTGCTTGGATGAAAACAACAACAAAAAAAAAAGCATATTTTGTTTTTTAAATAATGACAAATGCTTACTTGACCTTCCTTTCGTTGCAGTAAATCAATCTGACTTACACACTTACCATAAGGACATGGTTGTTTTTTGTGTTCAGGAATAACCGGCCTTTTCCTTAAGAAATTTTCAAGACTTGGACCATGGCGTCCTAGAGGATCATCAGGAGGCATAAATCTATGGTGAAAGAAATGTGAATTTCAGTTTTTAATGAAGATTCTGAATCAACAAATTTCCTTATTTCTGAGGCCAAAAAAGAAAAAAACATACTTGTCATTCACAAAAGAATACATAAGCAGCCGTTCCTCTATGAACTTCTTCCATTCCGGTTTTTCATTTTGAAGATCCCGATAGTTGTCATTTGATACAATGATGCCATCCGAGTCAAAAGCAAGTTTTACTATAAATCGATCATCATAGCAAACAACTCTTCTTCCCTGAACTCTTCGAGATGGGGTAAAAACAAGAATTTTTTCTTTCTCCAATTTACGTAAGATTTCTTGATCTGTAAAATAAGTTTAGTTGAGAAACTTCTCAAAAGTTTTAGAAGAAAGAAATGCAGCCTTTGAAATATGAAACTTTATTTTTTCTGACAAAGTGTTGTATAACTGTGCTCATAGAAGGTCTTCCATACACGAGGACCAAATACACAAAATACCTAAATAATATCTAAATGTGAAGTGCTAGGTATTCCTGAGGTTCCAAAGTAACTGGAAAATATTAAATATTAAGGCTACATAACCACTCCTACTTCCCTGCGAACCGCTACACACTTTTTCTTACTCCTTCTGAACACGTCGAGAACTCAATTATTACCATTTTACAAAAGTCTCCTTGTATGTCAAAATCTATGCTGCCTCTTCAGTGTTCAAGATAACCCTATTAAATTAATCCCTAGACTGATATTACTTATTTTATACTAGCCCAGTAACTAAGAATCAGTTCTTATATTTTTAAATCTCTGCGCTAACAAGAAAATTATAAATACGACCTCTTAGGAGTGTTGAGATGATTCATTACTATACAAAAACAGCACTACTTTTTAGATGCAGCTACTTAAGTGTATTCCTTACCAGTGAAGTTGTTTTCTGCTTTCAAACAGATGAGCACTGAAAAAGAAAAGAAAAAGAAAGAAAGAAAGATCTGTTACCTGTAATTGGTGCATCAGGTCGAGACTGCTCTTTTCTCCATGCAGGGACAAACACAGTTATATCCTTATGTCCTTTTTCCAGAAACCAATCAACAGCTAGTTGAATCCCCCGGCAGGAAAATCCTTCTTTATTCCCATGACTGCAAATCATGCGAAATTGTTATTAATACATTGACAAGAAGTTACTTTGTGTTTGTTTTTTTTTAACACTGTTACAGTGTTAGCTGTTACAGTCTAAGAATATGAAGGAAGCAAATTTCATAAAAACAGTATTTTTATTAGACCAGCTTACATAATTGGGAAGTGACAACTGTCCAGAGATACTAAAACAATCAGATAACAACACTGCCGGTTGAAATAGTGAAAAAGCGTTATCTCAAAAATGAAAAAAGTACCCTAATGCAAAAGATTTGCCTTCTTTCCCATTTTATTAGCTGATCTAATGAAAGATACCACCACACTCACCTTTAGGTATCAACATGAAAAGACAGCAATAACAAAAAGAAATTAACAGAAAGAAATATATTAATACTGCTGACTGTCAGTTGTTTAAACATCAACCTTAAAAATACAAGTTTCCCTACCACTAGGCATGTTTCTCTTCTTCTTTAAAGTACTTTATATTTTTTTAAAGAAAATCAATTACTCAAAGTTGTATAAAACCAAAGGAAAAAAAAGTACATATTGTTTCCTGAAACACATTGCTGTCTCTAAAATAGCACACAAATCAGATGAATGGGTTAAAAGCTGTTTTATAACACTGATTCTGTTTAGAAAATGGTGTAATAAGTTTTTGTAAAGAAAAAAAATAGAGATTTGCGGGAGACTATTTAGAATCTTAACTATGCAATTCACTGTACCTTTTGGCTACACCCTTGTTGCTTTTTAAAAAAACAGTGAATGAAGAATCAGGTCTTAAATACCCCCAGGAAGTAGTTCAGCAATGCCTGAACAATATGCAAGCACATATATGAGAAGATGATTATAGTACACATAGTATTATTCTGCATAGCTCTGAGAGAGCCACACAGATTTACACATTATAGCTGAATTTCATATTTAGATTCAAACCAATGTTTTCTTTGTATTAAAAATACAACACATACATCCTTGCTAAACCAGGTGGCCATAAATAAAAACAGCATTCTGTTTTTTTGTTTGTTTGTTTTTCAATTAATAGTGTAACCACTTTGGGGAAAAAAAAAGAGAAATCTAAAGAACTTTTGAATCTGACCTTTTAACTAGCATAACCCTCATTTATTGTTAATAGTTTGTAAAACAAAGTGAACTCTTTCCAAAATTACATCTGGAGAGGGTAGAACAATAAGCCAAAGTTGTATTCCTTGAAGCATACTTTTCAAAATGCCTTTTTTTTTTTTTCCCCTCTCAGCACTGCTGTAGTTTCTCATCAATCATGATAGGTCACAAGCTGCCCGGTTAGTTTGACACCGTTCATTTTTGTTTCTGCAGAAACCTCTACATGAATTTGTAAAGAAGATGAATGGATGTCTTCAAATCACCCCATCCATTTCAAGCTGATCAGCAGTCACTCAGATATCCTGAAGCCCACTGCATATTACCAGCATGCACTATATGTCATTTCGCGAAGCAGCAGGTTTTTCTCACCTATTCATTTGCCTCTAGACATTAAACTAAAATATCTGATAACATTCTTAAATAACTTAAGAATTAAACACATCTACAACAAAAGCACACTACAGCTAAATTACTAAAGAAGACAGAGGGAATAACTTAATTAAAAATATATTTATATGGGGGTAAGGGTGGGGGACACACACCTAGAATAGGAATTACCTAAAAGGAATAATAGTATATATAAAAGACTGGGCTGCAGGCCATAAGAAATATTTATTATTAATCTAAATATACTACACAACTCAAAATTATATTGCAAGAATGCTGTTTTTGTTCATAAATATCTTGGTGACTTTTTATTTAAAAATGTAATAGGGAGACCCACCTCATAGCCACGTTGCTTCCATCAATGACAATTGGCCTCAGGTTATCACTATTATCCACAACTTCATCCTCAAGTGACAGTTCAGGGCTCGTTATCTCCTTCGGACATGGGCCTCTCGACACCAGAGTAGTAGTGGTAGTGCTGGCACTGCCTTGTCCCTCTGATTCACTTTTGTTGCCAAGTCTCACAAGTTCTGCCAGAACATCATTGATGAGGGCATCTGCTCCCAGTTTATTCAGTACAGCCTGGATTTGATCTCCTGCATATCCAAGCTTTAAAGCAAAATCCATTTTAGCTTGGTATTCCTTGTCCAAACTTGTTTTACATTCTTCCAGCTTCAAGTCTTGTGTGATACTGCTCTGCGAAAAACTTGGGCAATCCAAACAAGGGGAGCGACAGAGTGGTCGATGCGGTTTAGTGGAAACCTCCTTCTCTCTCCACTGTATATTGCTACAGCTGCTTCTGAAGTATGGTTGCTCAGGTTCACTTTCTGAGCTCGTCCATTCCTCAGATTCAGCACTGCATTCCCCAACATCTTGTTCCACATTTCTATCTTTTCTGGTGTGCCTCTTCTCCATTTTCAACTTCCCCACCATAGACCAGGCCGTCATCACGTTCAGCTTCCTGTCAGAGAGCTCAAGATTTCTTTTTCATTTTCAAAGACATGTAGGATTCGTATTCAGTTGCATCTTGTTGGCTAATTACAGGTTTACAAAAGGCTGGAATTAATTTGCCTTGCCTACCATGTTCTGGCATAAACAACACCGACATGAAGTTCCTTAAAAAAAAAAAAAAAAAAGACGGGTGGGGAGGGGAATAAAAAATAGCTTTCATTAAATTCTGCAAAATACTTGAGTACAGTAATTTCGTTTACAAGCAGAGATCCCCATTTCCCAGATTTTCCCACAGATTTCAATGTAAAAATTGATCATAATAAAGCATATAGTTTTGCTGTCCCTTTACTCAGACATTAAATTCCCTCTCTCTTCCCCATTAACTATGTTCAAAAAATGAGTTCCCACACAGTAAGTCTACAGCTGAAGTTAATGAACCACCTCTATATTTAAAAGAACAACACAGAAAAGGGCAACCCACTGTTTCCACTAGAAAACAATCTTTGCAATTGTTGCCTGTCTACTTCAGGAACACTGAAGTTCCAATATGCATAAAATTCAACAAACACTTTCAGGCTCTTCCAGTTAAGGTTTATACCATAGTTGACAAGCTAAACCAGGTTAACTTTAGCATAAGCTGACTGCAAGACACACTGAAGTCATTACAGAGATGCACAAAGGTTCCGCAAGATGATCATCTAGTGCTTTGTTTACTGTACCTACTGCACTGAAAAATCCAAAACCAAGAACGGATATTCTACTAACCTACTGTGTTTTGACAAATTCACTCTCATAATGTTTGAATAAGCACTGAAAATTCTTGTCTTTTAGCAGAAGTAAAAACATTCATGGAATTCTAGTGAGAGTCCAGGCAAACTAGATTAATTATGTTGGTCTGTGAAAGGCTCAGCTGAAGCCGTGAAGCTTTTGAAAAACAGTTTTAAAAAGGAACTGCAACTGCAGCCAGTGTATATTTTAGAGAAAATTACAAACCCAGACCCAGATGGAAATGCAGGAAGCTGCAGAAAATTGATTCAGAAAGATGCAGCAATAAAAGAAATTTGTAAGCCAGCAAAAACGGGAACTTCAACTATTTGGCCAGCAGGAGAATTGAAGTGTTTAGAAAGAGGTCTGCTTTCAGAAAGTTGTATCCTCTCCTCTGTAAACCAGCAAACTCTGATAATGCAGAACCTATGGGGTCCTCTGGATGAAGAAAGTAACAAATGTAATTGCCTTGAAGAAAATATTTATTTTAATGCTTAAGCTGCTTGTTTTAACTTCATCTGCCCACTGGAATAAATCTTGTTCCTATTGAAGTTACTGCTTTTAGACGTAACAACAGAACGGAAAAAAAAAAAAAAAAAGACAGAAACTAATAAGAGCCACAGCAGGGTGTAGTCTTCGGAATCTACAAACTGTCTTAAAGCTACGTCTGTAGTAGAGACTTCGGTTAGTGCAGATGTTGTCTGAAGAAGTGTGAGGAGTATGATTTAAACAGTATTGGTTTAAATCCAAAGGATTAAACAGTAGCAACATTTAAAAAAGGCCTTGTACTGACACACTTTTCAAATATATCATCACTTTTAACAGGATAGTCTAATAGCTTAGTGTTCTAAAGTATTTTGCAGACATAAACTATGGATGCATGATGAGCTTTTTCCCAGGATTTTTAGGAGAGGTTTTGTAGCATAAAATAAGTGTTACCTGGGCACAGGAAGAGATTGACCAAAGCAGCTCCCTCTCCTAATGACCTCCTAATGCATTCACAAGGAGCAGTAAAACTGAAAGAGCAATCCACATCTTGGGAGGTACTGCTCACTAGTGTCACTTAGAATAAACTTATATCTCTTTAATGTATCTTTTTAAATTTCTCTCATGTCTCTTTCACTCCTTCGGGTTATGAGCAAGCATTAAAAGAAGATAATTTTTTACAGAACATTATCAAGTCTGATCATACTCAAAAGCTTTTTAAAAAAATCTTACTCTTACCTCCCCAAGAGATCACAAAGGGTCTTATTTAGTCTTACTTAACAAATAACATGAAAAATACTCCCTTATTGTAAAGTAGTGTTACCCTCTTACTCTACAGAAATGCTATATCTAGAGACTAAAAATAAGTATTGAAATCTGTTGAGCAGGGGGAGGCGATGAGCATCTCATGTAGCTGGAAGAAAAGCATACTTAACACTGTCCATTATTTATTTTCTTCCTGAAATCAGTACTTTAAATTGTTCCACAGAATGATATTCATAGACCCTGAAATCAAGAAAATAACATGGAAATGCTAACAAGTATTAGCATAGCCAGTTAAAACAAATGTATAAAACTACAATATTGCACCCTAAAAGTATTCTTATAAACTTTGTTTTCACTATTTCACTGAAAATTGTAAGGACATTATACTAAGCATTATGAACCACAAAAAAAAAAAAAAAGGAAGAAAGAATAACCAGTGTGCGCCCAAGCCAAATGTTGTTCTTTTACAGTACTCATATCCCTTCAACCCTTCAACATGTATCCCATCAACATTTAGGAGGAATCACAAATTCCAAACACATATCAGTTCTGAGCAAGATGACTGATCTGAGATGAGTCAAAGGGAAATTTGTAAGTCAAGGACTGAAGTTCAAGCTATTTGAGTCAACTCTACTGCAACAGAGTGCAGAACAATGACTGAAAGGAAACAATGATGAGACTGTGACTGTAGAGCCCTACAGGACCACTACAAAAAGGCTGAAAGCAGGAAGATGAGGTGAAGAGATAAAGCAATCATCTCAATTTGTATACAAATGTGAGTATGTGAGCATGCATCATCTTTATCAGCCCAGCTCCCTCTAGTATCAGTTTAAGAATAGTGCAAGGGTAAGCTACAGATTACATTATTTCTGGTGCAAGCAGTTCATGTAATTTGTAGAAGAAAATGAGTACTTTCAGGCAGTCTTTCAGGGATGTCTGTCTTGAGCAAAAGGTGATTTGTTGAGAATTCTCTATTATCTTACTGCCTTTATGCTCACTTTATCTTTATGTGTACATAAAAAGAGTTACTGCAAAAAGCACTACTCCTTGGCTTACAGAACTCTACTTGCAGACACTTTATTTTGTTATTGCTTATACTGCACACTTTAAGTTAGTATAAATGCATTAAGGAATTATTACACAGAGACAAATTTATTTGTATATATATACACACGCTATATATATATATTTGTATATACAATCATATATATACAATTGTATATATATACACAATATAAAATATATAAGCAGAACCAGAACTATTTTAAAACGATAAATAAAGTACATATTGTGTCATTTTGCTGATGACAAAAACAAATGAGAAATGAGTCTGTGTGCCTCAGTTTTCTCAAAGGTGGAATAAAAGCTCATATCACAGATCATATACTAAAAACATTAAAAAATCAGCAGTACTATGTTCTTGTTTAAGTTACATTCTTTCCCCATGATAGCCAAATATGAACACAAATTTACAGAATGAGAGAAAAGCAGTTAGCAATTTCTGATTTGAAAGAGATTAGAACTCAGAAATCTGAATGCTGCAGCTTTAAAAATTTGCCTCTCAATGCTTGCTGCTAAGCAATCAAGTTTTCTTACCTAAAGATCTCTTTTAGCACAGTCATGACAGACTAGTAGAACTGATAATGGGATTCAGAGATTGAGGCAAAAATATTTTGTTCATATACTAGCAAACTGAAAACATCTGTATAATTTCACGACAATAAAACAGAAGGAAAATGTCTACCCAGTAATAAGCGATTGCAACGTGTATTAAAAACTCTCAGGAACTACATAACATTAATTATGCAAATGGTAATGATTACTAGAGACCAGGTGCTGGAAATACTCAATTCCAGGTCTGCTGATTTCAGCAGATGCAATAGAATCAAGAATGTAGGGTGAAAGGAGGGAGTGAATAACTTCTTTCAGTACCCAGTGACCCAACAGCTTTCCATCATCTTCACTGTCCTATGAATCATGCCCTTCATACATAAAGAACTGACTGCAGGGATAACACATCTGTGACAAGGAACAACATTTAAATAAAGAAATATTAATTAACTCCTTTTGTCAAATCTTAAGCAACTTTACTTCTGCTGAAAAGAAAGAAAAAAGTATTTTTCTTTCACGTGAATAACACAGGAGAAAATGATTCTGTATCATTAATTTTATGGAGAGTGAGGGACTGCTTCTTTCCCCTAGTATATTTTTGAGATACTCCTTATTAGCTATATGTATTTTTTACAATTTTTTTTACAAAATTTAAAGAAACAAACAAAACGAAAACTATCTGAATACTTAGCATATAAAATGGAACTATCTAGGGGAGTTCTATATGCATGGCAAAGAATAAACATTGCAACTTTTTCCTCTTTATTTCCTTTTAAGCTATCAAATAAGCTTCTTCACAAGAATGAAAAGTAATGTTTTTTCATTAAGAAAAATAAGTTATTGCCCCATTGCTTCAGCATGAATTTAATGTTAGTTTCCTCTTCGTCCTTCATCTCACTGATTTATGCTACTCTATTTAGATTCTACCCTGTAAGAGACCTACAGAAAGAGGCATCTTTCTAGAAGACTGTTCTGAATAGGAGTCAGGTCTTTGATTATTGTGGTTATTTCTACATTATCAGAAGATGACTGAAGTGCATGGGTACATATATCTAAACTGATTTTCATATAGCTACAAGAGCAACCAGCTTAGGCAAGCTAGGTGTCTACTACAACTACACCTCCTGATTACAGTTTAGATACTGTATAAGCCTGTTAACACAGAAACTGCCAACCCTCTGGTTACATATATACTGATTATGGTAAAGTAAGCTCTAAAACCATGGAAACAACATGAGTAGAGACAAAGGTAGAGAGAAGTATCTTCTGTTGCTAAAATTATTCAGTGTTCAGAGGCACTAGATCCAAAACACTCATCAATATTTCAGTGAGCTACAGCACAGACTAGTGAAGATAGACCGCCAAAGCATGTTTTTGTGATTTTTAAAAACTTCCCTAACAAATGATTGATCATTATTTTCAGATATTACTGTTTGCTCTAGCAATATGAAAGCCCAAAATGCAATACACGGAAATCCTCACTTGTTAGGAAATAGTTAGTCAGAAGACACAGACTATGAGCAGCTCAACAT